GCTCTTTTCCTCCTTCCGCTGATTAAAGAGCTTACCCCTAAGCTCCTTTAACCAAGAAATGGGCTTTTAACGAGGCTTTCCATTCCTATCAAAAAAAAATATCAACCAATGTTTACTTACAATAGACATTCCAAAACCAAAACCAGCATAAAGGTGCTAACCTCTTTGCCTATCTTCTTTCTATCCCTTTTTAAAATGCCGTGCAATATTGGAAAGAAGCTTAATTCTTTAATGGCTAACTTTCTTTGGGGTGATAAGGGGGATAAGCGGAGGATTCACTGGGTAAATTGGAATACGGTCTGCAGGCCTTTGAACTGTGGTGGACTAGGTGTTCTTGATTTGAATCTTACTAACCGGGCTTTACTAGGCAAGTGGGTGTGGAAATTTGCCAATGATAAAAATTCTCTTTGGAAATCTGTGTTGTGTAGCAAGCAAAAGGTCTGTTGGAACACTATGTCTATTGGAAAGGTTACTTCTCCGCAATCTTCATGGATCTTGAGAGGCATTGCAAATAATTTTTCTAAGAATGATTCGGTAGGGGACTTTCTTAGATCGAATTCGAAGCTGCAAATAGGTAATGGGAAATCAATTTCTTTTTGGAACGATTTATGGGCAGATGAGGTTCCTCTAAAAATAATTTTCCCTAGAATCTATGTGCTTTCCATTAATAAAGGGGGGGAGGTTGTTGAGTTTGGCAGCTATGGATCGAGTGGTTGGGAGTGGAATGTTCAAACTAGAAGGAATCTGAGTGATTGGGAATTGGACCAGTGGTTGGCTTTGATGACAAAACTTAAGGATTTCAAACTGTCAGAGCTGGTAGAAGACTCCCTTTCTTGGTCTGCTAGTGGAGATGGCTTGTTTTCGGTAAAATCCTACAGAAAATCTCTTGGTTCTGTGGATGGGAGTAATGATTTGTGGCTAAAAGGAGTCTGGATGGGTTTTGCTCCACCTAGAGTGGAAGCTTTCCTTTGGCAACTCGCACATAAGAAATTGGCAGTTAAGGTTGAGTTGGTTAAGAGAGGTGTTTCGTTAAGGGAAGATATTCAGTGTCCTTTTTGCAAGAATCATGAGGAAACAGTTCAACATTTATTTATTTCTTGTTTTGTTGTGTGGAAATTGTGGAATAATATAGCTAGTTTCTGGGATATTTCGCTTGTTCTTCCTCAAGACCCTCCTGCTTTGCTTAGTTCCTGGGGTGAGTTGAGGGGTAATTCGACGATATGGAAGTTTATTCCGGGTGTTATCTTCTAGTCAATCTGGAAAGCTAGGAATGCTATGGTGTTTGAAGGATCTAATCTTGACAGCATGTCTTTGTTCTTTACAGTTAGATTCAGACTTTCAAAATGGTTTTTAGCCAAGTTTCCTACGGTTCATATTCAAGAGGATTTGCTGATTGGTAATCCATCCCTAGCAGATGGGTTTTCTTTATCCAAAGCCAAAGTTTGTCATATCTTGCGTTGGATTCCATCCCCTGTTGATTTTCTTATGATGAATGTTGATGGAGCTGCTATACTTGATGGCTCGGGTGGAGGTATTGGAGGTATTTTGAGAGATTGGGAGTGTCGCACACTTTTGACTCTTTCAGAGAAGGTTCGCCACGGTACTACTCCTCTAGCTGAATTAAAGGCTATTCAAAGAGGCATTGAAATTTTTCTGGCATCACTTTGGGTATCTGTTGGGAGATTGATTGTTGAGTGTGATTGCAAGTCGGTAGTGGAATGGATTCAATCACCGGCTTTGGCTCCTGCTTTCTACTCGCCTTTAGTTAATCAGATTTTGTCTCTTTCAAATGGTATGGTTCATTCAGTGAGGTGGATTCCAAGGGCAAGCAATGGGGAGGCTGATAGCTTAGCTAAGAAAGGGATAGGTTGACGGTAAGGCTCTATTACTGGATTTTCTGATCCAGCGAGGAGGTCTAGTTGAAAGTAGTTGTTAAGTTTTATGTGATGTAATTTGGTGTAGTGTTTAAATCTTATGTAAACTTTTATTATCAATAAAATTTTTAAGGCGCTCTTTTCCTCCTTCCGCTGATTAAAGAGCTTACCCCTAAGCTCCTTTAACCAAGAAAGAGGCTTTTAACGAGGCCTTCCATTCCTATCAAAAAAAAAAAAATATCAACCAATGTTTACTTACAATAGACATTCCAAAACCAAAACCAGCATAAAGGTGCTAACCTCTTTGCCTATCTTCTTTCTATCCCTTTTTAAAATGCCGTGCAATATTGGAAAGAAGCTTAATTCTTTAATGGCTAACTTTCTTTTGGGGTGATAAGGGGGATAAGCGGAGGATTCACTGGGTAAATTGGAATACGGTCTGCAGGCCTTTGAACTGTGGTGGACTAGGTGTCCTTGATTTGAATCTTACTAACCGGGCTTTACTAGGCAAGTGGGTGTGGAAATTTGCTAATGATAAAAATTCTCTTTGGAAATCTGTGTTGTGTAGCAAGCAAAAGGTCTGTTGGAACACTATGTCTATTGGAAAGGTTACTTCTCCGCAATCTTCATGGATCTTGAGAGGCATTGCAAATAATTTTTCTAAGAATGATTCGGTAGGGGACTTTCTTAGATCGAATTCGAAGCTGCAAATAGGTAATGGGAAATCAATTTCTTTTTGGAACGATTTATGGGCAGATGAGGTTCCTCTAAAAATAATTTTCCCTAGAATCTATGTGCTTTCCATTAATAAAGGGGGGGAGGTTGTTGAGTTTGGCAGCTATGGATCGAGTGGTTGGGAGTGGAATGTTCAAACTAGAAGGAATCTGAGTGATTGGGAATTGGACCAGTGGTTGGCTTTGATGACAAAACTTAAGGATTTCAAACTGTCAGAGCTGGTAGAAGACTCCCTTTCTTGGTCTGCTAGTGGAGATGGCTTGTTTTCGGTAAAATCCTACAGAAAATCTCCTTGGTTCTGTGGATGGGAGTAATGATTTGTGGCTAAAAGGAGTCTGGATGGGTTTTGCTCCACCTAGAGTGGAAGCTTTCCTTTGGCAACTCGCACATAAGAAATTGGCAGTTAAGGTTGAGTTGGTTAAGAGAGGTGTTTCGTTAGGGGAAGATATTCAGTGTCCTTTTTGCAAGAATCATGAGGAAACAGTTCAACATTTATTTATTTCTTGTTTTGTTGTGTGGAAATTGTGGAATAATATAGCTAGTTTCTGGGATATTTCGCTTGTTCTTCCTCAAGACCCTCCTGCTTTGCTTAGTTCCTGGGGTGAGTTGAGGGGTAATTCGACGATCTGGAAGTTTATTCCGGGTGTTATCTTCTGGTCAATCTGGAAAGCTAGGAATGCTATGGTGTTTGAAGGATCTAATCTTGACAGCATGTCTTTGTTCTTACAGTTAGATTCAGACTTTCAAAATGGTTTTTAGCCAAGTTTCCTACGGTTCATATTCAAGAGGATTTGCTGATTGGTAATCCATCCCTAGCAGATGGGTTTTCTTTATCCAAAGCCAAAGTTTGTCATATCTTGCGTTGGATTCCATCCCCTGTTGATTTTCTTAAGATGAATGTTGATGGAGCTGCTAGACTTGATGGCTCGGGTGGAGGTATTGGAGGTATTTTGAGAGATTGGGAGTGTCGCACACTTTTGACTTTTTCAGAGAAGGTTGGCCAAGGTACTCCTCCTCTAGCTGAATTAAAGGCTATTCAAAGAGGCATTGAAATTTTTCTGGCATCACTTTGGGTATCTGTTGGGAGATTGATTGTTGAGTGTGATTGCAAGTCGGTAGTGGAATGGATTCAATCACCGGCTTTGGCTCCTGCTTTCTACTCGTCTTTAGTTAATCAGATTTTGTCTCTTTCAAATGGTATGGTTCATTCAGTGAGGTGGATTCCAAGGGCAAGCAATGGGGAGGCTGATAGCTTAGCTAAGAAAGGGATAGGTTGACGGTAAGGCTCTATTACTGGATTTTCTGATCCAGCGAGGAGGTCTAGTTGAAAGTAGTTGTTAAGTTTTATGTGATGTAATTTGGTGTAGTGTTTAAATCTTATGTAAACTTTTATTATCAATAAAATTTTTAAGGCGCTCTTTTCCTCCTTCCGCTGATTAAAGAGCTTACCCCTAAGCTCCTTTAACCAAGAAGGGGGCTTTTAACGAGGCCTTCCATTCCTATCAAAAAAAAAATATCAACCAATGTTTACTTACAATAGACATTCCAAAACCAAAACCAGCATAAAGCCCCAACACAGTACCACTCCCACAACATGAACATTTACAGAAAACTACCCTATACAACCTAAACCAGCCAACCAATTCCCTGTTTAGCTAGTGAGTCCGCCTCTATGTTGCAAACTCTCGAGATATGACACTGTAAAATGCATTTCGCACCAATGATGTTAGCAATGGGTCGAACCGCTGAAGAAAAACATGAGGGGCATATTTCAGAGTTTAAAATCCAAGCCACTTCTGTTTTGCTATCACATTCCACAATGAGTTCTGCATCGTGGTTGCTGCTCGACCGATAATACATGTCCAAACCATAGTTAATAGTTCTGCCAGAATGTGTGTGTGTGTGGGGGGGGGGGGGGCTTGATGGAGGTACTGAGAAAGTTTCGAGACTTGTACCTTCTCTATTTCTGAATATTCCCCCAATGCTGCCTGCTGATCCATCCTTTAGCATTGCCCTGTAAGCATTAAGTTTAACGAATCCAGAAGGAGGGGCTTTCCATGCACTGATGCACATGACACAATGTTAATATTTCCATCAGACCACTTGTATGCTAATGATGGGTCAGCTACCAAGTCTTCAAAGGAAATTTTGACTGCTGGATGTTTTGCTTTGAAACACATGGAATGCCCAATATTATTGAAGTTGCAGTTGTTGATACACTGAATGATTAAAATATTTTATTCTTCCATGCATTTAAACACAATGCCCAAAAGGGGAATAGGCATTAACTTTGCATCCGTTGATTGGCTGCCTTGATTTTTTTCCTTTAGATGTTCTATATTCCTTTTATCCTTGTATATATCCTGACAATATCACTTTTACTTCGGACAGTCATTTGGTTTTGGAGACATCACAAGAGATCAGTGATGTACCGTATGGAGATTATTTCCGTGTAGAGGTACAAGCTAGACCGAATCTCCCTTAAACATGCTTTAATGTGTGAAATTTTCTACTGTTCTCCATTCCCTAGTTTGTCACTTTTAGGCATAAATTATCCTGTTATTTCTTGAGAAGATTATGGGTCAGAATTTTGAGACAGGAAAATTGTACTTTAGCCCTTCAATTTGAGAACTCAAAAATAAAAAGCATGATGATGTGTCTACATCTTATTGGTCTACGTTTATGCAATGTATATTGGAGAGAAATTTGTGCATTGCATTTCAAGATGTTTAGGTTGGTAATCTTTCTTGGTCCAACTCTTTGCTTGCCCTGATATGGTCAATGTGGTAAATTATATAATGGTATTAATTATATCGGAACTTGGCATGTAAGATTTTTACCTAACTTAAATGGGCAATTTTTTTTAAAAAATAATCTGCTTTATAATTCTTCATATTCGAGTATATATCATGGTGAGTGGAAGAGAAGGTATATGATCTCCACTTTCTATGTTTGAGTTTATATAACAATAGAACTTGTGAAGATGCTGAATGTAAATACTTCTAAGCCATGGAAAAAGGTAGTCAACAACAATTATGCTTTTAGTTGTTATCGAAGATCCCTTATTTTGTGCATAATCTGTTTCTGTTTTGTTTGCGACACTTTTAGCTCAGTCAAAAATGTGTTTGAAATCACCCTGTATTCTATCAGGGGCTTTGGGATGTAGAAAGAGACAGTGATGACCCACAAGAAGGCTGCGTCTCACGGGTTTATGTTAATGTGGCTTTTAGTAAGAGAACTGTTTGGAAAGGTTTGCCCCTGCTGAATGATGATGCATCTCTTGTTTATGGGGTGTTTATATGGTTATGCATTTCTTGTGCTGCATCCTTGTTTTTTATTTTCCAAGTTTCTATTGTTTTGACTCCAGTTATAAAGACTTGCATTTACATGTCTCATATTTTAATTGTGTTTGTGGAAATAGGGAAAGAATTTTCGGTAGTTGCAAAACATGTGTCACTTCTAGATTGTTTTGAACTTGTCAATTTGGCAGGCTTTTTATTCTTAGAAGATGTTCTCCAAAGGATTTATTGCGTTCTTTTTTTTTTGAATAGCTTAAGTAGTGGACCTTTTGATTGTATATTAATGACTAATGATAATATTTCTTTTCTCGTTCGTCTCCTTCATCTGATGCCATGCACATGGTATAGGGAAAATAGTGCAGTCTACTCTGGAAGAGTGTCGTGAAGCTTATGCTACATGGATAGACATGGTATTATATTTTTCCTGTATTTTATGTTTATTTTTAAAGTTTGTTTGAACATTGATCAAAGATTTTTTATCATTAATGTTTCAGGCACATGAATCGTTGAAGCAGAGCACTGATAAACAAGGAGGTTCGAACTCTGACAATCAGATTTTTTTTTTGAAGAATTTCTAGTAATGAAGTTTATGATCTGGGCAAGTGATATGCAGATATCAGAATTACTGACCGTAGCTCCTTTGTTTCAAGCAGGGGTAGATCCTTCAGGAAGCTCAACTGAAAATGGTGAAGTCCGAGTCGAAAGGCAAGTGTCTACCACGGAACCTTCAGAAAGACCTCATAATACAAGTGGTCCAGTAAGGACATTGCAGATGTTTGATTCTCAGGATGTAAACCAACAAATTGGGAATCTTTTGCAAGAAAGTTTGACTAGCGCTTCATCCATCCCATCGTTGTTAAGAGAGTTTGTGAGGAAATCCTACTCATACATGAAACGCCAAGGCCATATTTCACTAGTCTTAGCCGTTGCCTTTGCTGTGATCTTCTTGATGCAGGTTCGTGGTTCCCATTTAACTTGTTGTCTTAATTTTAATTCATTGGTTAAGTGATTTCTATAGTTGCACTCCATAGCTTGTCCATTATAATTAGTCAGTCGTATACAGATTTTATCATTCTTACATCGTATTGTTGGATCCCTTACGACCCGCCTTCCTCGTTTTGGTTTTTAACTGCAGGTAAGCATCGTTGTGCTATTAAACCGACCGCAACACTTACATGTGAGTTACCCAGTAGAGTACATGGGTAGCATGATGGGCGGTGGTGGTGGTAGAGAAAGCAGAGCAGAGGCAGTGGCTTGGTTGGAGAAGCGGATGCATCACCTTAAAGAAGAGATGACGATGGTCGAAGCTCGGTTAGAGAGGATGCAACATGAGCATTCTGCTTTAAAAGCACAGTTAAAAGAGACGGAGTATCCTAAGAAGCATAATAGATAAAAAAATTCATAGAAAATCAGGAAATCAAGGAATTATTTTCACATAATCACTATATGTCTGTAATAGAAATCATATGTAATAAACTGTTTGCTTCAATATCTTTAGTGCTAGTGAAGGACACGGGCATTGAAATTTAATGGCAGTTATGATTTTAATTTTTGTCAAATTTAGGCTTTATTTTCAATCGTAATTTTGTTTTTGGTATACTTATTTCCTCTTTCATTATTTATGATAGTTTTTTTGTCATATTAGGTCACTATTTTTTTATTCTAATTTTGATAGTTTTTGCCCATATTTTTATTTGATCATCCAAATTCCAAAAGCCCATTTTAGTCCCTAAAACGAAATGACCGATGACATGTGAACTTTTTATCACTATAACTAAATTATAGCTGTTTTAGTATTTAAATTTTTAATTTTTTTATCTAAAATATGTTTTAATATTTAAATATTTATTTTTTTTAAATTATACCTAATATTTACTTTTCATTTTATTTTGATCTATTTTAATATCTAATTTTTAATTTTTTCAAGATATAATGTTAAATTTTGAATAAGGGTACTAAAATAAAATAAGAATTAAACTTTAAGTATGGTTACAGATTAAAATTGATAGTTTAGGTATTAAACACATAGTTTACCCATTTATTTATTTATTGTCTCTCTTCTGTTCAGCTTTCACTATTATCAGCCCCTCTCTCTCTTGCGTGTCATCTCAATCTGTGATTTTTTTCCCTAGCGTTCCCTGTTTCCACCATCTTTCCGCTGACTTTTTGGGTCAATCGGTGCTAAATCTCCCTGGTCTGTCGCCGAATTTTCATTCGGATTCCGGCGACCCCATTCTCTCTTCAATTCACTATGAATCCCGAATAGTATGTTTCTCTTTATTTGTACGTCATGTTATTCAGATTAAGCCTTAATCTATTTATTTTTTCTTCTTTTTATAATCTGATAACGTTAAAGGTGCCTAAATTTTGTGTGTGTCAGTAATAGTCCGTGTTAGAAGTAAACCCTGGAATCCATTGGATATTGTTTTAGATCTGTTGATGCAATTTAGAATCGCAGATATTATTTTCACTTTTGTTGTTGGCTAATTTGCAACTGGGTTTTTCTTATGGAATTTAATTTTCAGAAAAAAGGTGGGAGCTTTGATGTGTTCTTCATTATTCAAGTGTTGCCTTGATGTCATCTATATGCTGTTAAATATGGATTTGGGTGGAAAATATGCTCTTGATAATATGATTTGTTGGGATTTCTCCTTCTTTTACAATATAATTTGGTGAAATCTATTATTTATGATGAACAAGCTTATTTCACTTAAAGCAGTGCACCTTGCTTTTATATTTCCTGGGTTGATGTAGGTAACATTTAGTCAGTTGCTCTAGTCTGTCAATGACCTGGGATCATAAGCCTTAATCTTTGGGAAATTAATATGGAGATGTTATGTTATATAGTTATTGCATCATTGAAAGTGTTTCAATATAATCTGCTTGCACTCTTTTTCAGTGACTATCTGTTCAAACTTCTGCTTATAGGAGATTCTGGTGTTGGAAAATCTTGTCTTCTTTTGAGATTTGCTGTAAGTTTCTCGACTCAAATTGACATTTGAAAAGTAAATATCTTTAATTTTAAGAGATACACTTACCTTTTCGCTCCTTTGTAGATGTTTAACAATTACCTTGAATTTTAATATTCATCGAAGTTGTTTAGATTACATTAGTTGTTTGATTAAAAGGTTTTATTGCTAATATGCCATATATATTGGGAGTAGCATTTATCCCTTCACACTGGGTCATATTTTTTTTGGATTTGATTAAGTACTTTTTAGCATCAGAATTGTTACTACTTTTAGTTGTGTATCTTGATATTTTCAGGATGGTATGCAGGATGAAATCTTGAACCTGATCATTTTGTAATTTCTTCGATGCAGGATGATTCATACATAGATAGTTACATAAGCACCATTGGAGTTGATTTTGTGAGTAAACCAGTCCCTGTGGTTAACTTCTGAATGCCAAATCTATGATAATTATTCTAATTTCTTGTCTTCTGGTTTTCTTTTTGGGTAGAAAATACGCACTGTGGAGCAGGATGGGAAGACCATTAAACTTCAGATAGTATGTTACAGCAAACTATACCGCTTTATCATTTTTGTTTAGTTCCTTTGTGTTTTCAGTTTAACCTCTTTGTATTTTACCATTTAGTTTGCTCTTTGGTTGAATGTATAGTGGGACACTGCTGGACAAGAACGTCTAGTAGCTACTACCGTGGGGCTCATGGCATAATCGTGGGTGATCTTTTCTTTTCTAGTTTTTCTCCTTTAAGTTCCTTTTTTTGTAGTGTTTACTGCCGGTTCCCCTATTAGATCGTTTATGATGTAACGGACCAAGAAAGCTTCAACAATGTCAAGCAGTGGCTGAGCGAAATTGATCGTTATGCTAGCGATAATGTTAACAAACTACTGGTTGGAAACAAATGTGATCTTACAGAAAACAAAGCCGTGTCGTACGAGACCGCCAAGGTATTTTTTCTATTTTCAGATGTTAAGCATAAATTATTTTCTTTTGAGGAGAATCTTTGCAGTCGGATTATTTATGTTAGTGGCTTTGTGATTTTACAAATTCTAATCATTGGTGTTATGCTGCATTTATTCTCCCATCCCTTTCTACACAAGCGTTTGCGGATGAAGTTGGCATACCTTTTATGGAAACCAGTGCTAAAGATTGCACGAATGTGGAACAGGCTTTCATGGCCATGGCTGCTTCCATCAAGGATAGGTACAGCTATAATCTTTCTTTTCCTGAATAGTTTGAGCTGTATCGAATATGCTAAAGGTCTGTTTTAAATAAAATGTCGTAGTCGTTCTAGAGTAATGTACCATTGAATGACATGTCCAGGCTGCTTGTGTTAATTTTTCACTCTTTTACAAAACCTTCTAGATCAACATACTCATTGCTATCGAACTTACTGCAAAGTCTTGGTACCTATCGATCGACAACTACTTTAGTGTGATATGCTTGGTCCTTAAAATTGCCTCCGAATGCAGAATGGCAAGCCAACTGGCCACGAACAATGCACGGCCTCCGACCGTACAGATCCGAGGACAGGCTGTTGAACAAAAGAGTGGCTGCTGCTCTTGCTAAAAAGGTCGAGTTGCATTTCTTCTGCAGGAAGTAGTATGCTGCATGTTAATTTACATGTTTCTTAACTAATCAGTTGCCAGACTTTTTTCTTATGGATAAAAAAAATAACTTCATTAGAGGATCTTCATTCATTTCTATACTCAATGTTAATGTCAATGGTTGTACAATATATATATAATTGTTGATTAAATTATATTGTTATTCGTATTTCCCAAGTGTGGGATATTGTTTTATGCAAATGCCATCTCCAGGGTTTTGTCCTAACTAATCTAAACTGACCTGCGTTGCAAACCTAATTTTGGTGGGGAAGTATCTCGATAGAAAAATAATTCAAGTCAATTCTTTTCTTAAGTATATTATTTCTTTTTTTAAATTAATTTAGGGAGACTACAAGTGGTAATATATATTCTAAGAACTCTCAATCATTTGATAATGAATGTTCATATACCTTGACAACCACTGGTGCTTTAAGTGATTTGTAAGGATAGCAACCAACCATTTTAACTATTGAGGTAATTTAATTCGTACGGTATATTATTATTTTTTAGGGTAAAACTTTTCTCTATCTCTTATTTTACTCACTGTACTTTTAATTTTTTCAATTTATTCACTGAACTTTAGACATTGAACGTTTTTGGTCACTCGATCGTTTAATCTGTAATGGGTGATTGACGTGGAATATTTTAATATTAAAAGGTCTACATCAGATTGACCATGTAGGATATATGAACAAATAATTAAATAGTGTTTCTTGGGTCAATATAAACATTTGGGATTAAAATCCCTAACCTTAAATGTGAAAAAGGAGGAGAGGCTGAATGAGATGGAACCAAAGTCTGAAAACTCCATTCTGATATATAGATGTGGAATTTCGACGGTTTTAAATACGGTATGGTCGGACGACAAACCTGGAAGATGGTTTTTCGACTGTAGTAACTATGGGAATAAGTGAAGCAAGGCTTGCAATTTCTTTCAATGGTATAACCTACCAATAGATCCACATCTGAAGTCGATTATGGTTGGTATTCTCAGAAAAATTAGGGCACTTGAAAACAAAAGAAGAAATGAAAGAATTCTTTGGATTTTTGCTTTGGTATGTTCGGTTTTGCTTACTTGTATTTTATGTGGATGATTTTTTAGTACTAAACGTTGAAGATAAGTAGGTTATTAATCGGCAGATGTGGAAGGTTGCAGATGATTTTTGAAATGACGTTGAAGGTTGAAGATGTTGTTTGAGTGTCATTTGAAGATGTAGGCCATAATGTGTACTTGATAAGTGTTTGTCATTGGTATTTTGTTAAGTATTATGAAATGTTAAGGTATTTATATGAAATGTTTATTTGTTTTGCAAATGAAGATGCAAATGTATTGGTTGTTTTGTAAATCTATTGGTTCTTATCGGTTATTTTGCAAATGCATGTCTTTTATTTATACTTTTTTGAGACAGATGATACATAAGAATGAATCATAAAATTGAATTCATATAAGAACAATCATTAAACAAAAATTATTATCCTTAAATTGAATAATTTTCATACGTTCTTACATATTTAAGTAAGAGGAAAAAAATAAGAGAAGCTCTAAGGACATTCAAACTACAACTTCTGTCATTTCAACTTAACTTTGTGAAGTCAATGTATGATAAAAAAATGCCCAACCATAAAACAAGTTTGACAGACAATACATCTAACATGACAAAAAGTTACACCAAATGACACAATTGTCAATTCACATAATGGTTGTCACAAAAGGCACAAAGTCATTGATAAAATATTTGTAGTTCATCTTCATTTCCACCTGGGCCTCTTTGAAGCAGGATCTTGAGGTTGAGCTTGAGGTTGGATGGAAGAGCTCTAATGAGA